ATGGCAAAGGAATGATGTGACCTAATTGAATGAGTTCAATGGCTGCCTACTCCATACTGGCCCCTAATTTATTTTATGGATTACTTGAGTACACAACTCAAATAACTAACAACCAAACAAAAATGTTTGCAAGTCAGTTAAGGGTTTTTTTTCTATTAAATTATGTACCAGTGTGTTAGACCCAGGAGACAGATATGGTAAAAAAAAAAAAAGAAGACTAGTCCTCCAAAAATAAGTCTCTTTCTCATACTTTATACAATGGCATCCTTTAACTTTAAGATGTTCATTGCAACTACCTTGTGAATTAGGTCAAGTCAAATTAGAAAGGTTGTTGAAAGGAGATTCAAAATATCAGGAAAAACAGTCAGTGTCCGCATTTATGGCTCCCAGTGCCAAGGAAAAGGTTTAAAATTGGTAGTTTTGCTCTGACTAAGCCAAGCTCTCTAGAGGAATAGTTGAAATTAATTCATTATGAATGAAATTTTCATTATTAAGAATACCTAATTAATTCATAAAGTACTGTGTGATTAAATCTTTTAACTTAACAATACACATAAATAATCTTAAATAAAGGATTTAATTTTAATAATTAAATTAATATTATTACTTTTCTAAAATTCAAATAAAAACAATAAATGTATCTAAATCATCTTCATTACTCGATTTAAAAAAAAATAATAATTGATCTACGAAAATGGCTTAAACTAAAAAAAGAAAATAAGAAAGAAAAAAATTACCGGTACTAAGAGAAATTAACAAAGCAAAAATAAAAAAAACAACTAAAAATAATAAAACTATGAATCAATCAAATAAACAAGGAGAAAAAACAATTTCAAAAAATAATTCTCATACTATTATTGTTATCACATTCGGCTTCGAAGCCATTTAATATGTACGGAGCCACTCCGGGTGCGAATTGTCATTGGCGATGATAGGTACCCGGGTACCTATAGATGCAGCCTTTTAATATATTTCATATTAACTGTATTGTTTATGACGTGAGTAATGCTCAGTAAAGAACAGGAGTGTTGTTATCACACACATCATTTGGGTCCTACTATTAATTAGTCTTTTCACCCGAAGTCCAGTGTTAGGATTCCCCAAAGTGACGTCACTGCACTTATACTTAACAATACTATAATTAATGCCATGGGCCATTGACATTGAATCCATGGCATTGTCATCTAGAATTTATTTTCATATTTGCAAAACTAGTTTTAACTAAACTAGGAACCAATAAAATGAGTTTTTTTAACTCACCGATCATCCATCAACTCAATTTCTAAATCAAAGCAATAAGTCATTTAATTTACGATGAATCATTGAATATTGATATGACTGAGAAAGACTTCAATGAGAATCCTCCTATACTATGAAATGATGTTCGTCGACTCCTTTCTTTCAACTTTTACTTTTATGCAGCATGAGCATGGTTAAAATGTAGGTTATGATTTATGGGTTTTAACCAAAATCAAACATGACATATTACTACCAAATGTTATGCCACTTATGCTATGCAGTATGAGTAAATCAAGTGAAATAAATATTATGAATGTAGTTGAGTGCTGAAGGAGAACAACTTGATTTAGAAAGTCGTTTAACTTTTTATAAATTTCAGAATTTAGTAGGCTAATATTTTATTCAAAGTTTCCAACTCATAACTGGATATAAAAATTTTCTTAGAAATAATATATAAAACAAAACATTATTTTTCCAATTCATTAACTTTATTAAAGTGACTTGCTCGTGCTTATAAAAGTTGTTAAAGGTGAAATACGTTTCAATGAAAAATTTCTGTCAAGTTTTATTTTTCGTGCTTCCGCCTGAGGACTTGCACATGCGCATAATGTTAAAAAAACAGGAATAATTGTGTTCAGGGCTACCACACCTAGGGAAATTTCCCAAGATCTTGGGAATTGACGACCCCCCTTGGGATCTGGGGAATAATTTTGAAAATCAGGCAAAATCTTGGGAAATCTTAACTGAGGGGGGAAATTTTATTATATTTTTTGAAAAAACGCAACAATGTGATACAAAATATAGTGAAAATAAAGCAAAATAATTTTTAAAGTAACAAGGCTACAAATTAATTGTTTTAATTTTCTTCTCTGGTTTTAATTTTTAAATCCACTCAACAAATAAATAAAAACTCTTCTGATATTAAAGTTAGTATTATTGTGAATTGATAAAAAGTTAATAATTAAAGAAAAATTCAATTTTCTCTTCTTTTTTAAAAAATTGAAGATTTACAAATTACATCCAGGTTTTGAATGTTTATTAAATGGGGAGGGGGGGGGGGTAGGCTCGGAAACTTCATCATTAGGCTATTAGACATTAGCAACCATACGAAAAACAGTACAAGCCGAAGAGTGAACATTAGTCATCAATCAAGAATCCATGCCATAGTAAAATTTAATTATTTCCATTACTTCTACAATGTGTTCAAAATATAATGCATCTATAAAAAATCCAGCCTAATTTTCATCAATTGGAAAAAATATTTGTGGATTGAAACACAGGTAACTAAGATATTAAAAGTATAGGCCCAGGTTTTTAGGATTATTAATGAACAATACCTTTCAAGGTATTTTTTATTTTTTGTTGAAAAAATCGTTATAATTCAAATTTACAAGAAAAAAAAATACTTATTGTTTTCATAATAATATCAATCCATTTTAACTACAATTATTATTAATAAATTTTGCTTCATTGCTTTGCAAACCCCACTTCTAATCGACAGACTTACAATAAGAAAAATCATTTTTTGATGAAGAACCTTTTGCCCTTGTAAAAGGAATTCTGTGTTGATTAGCCTTGTAAGCTTTGTTTCCAAGTAACTTCTATTACACATGTATCGTAGATGATATATTTACCAGAGAATTCGGAGATAATATTTAGTAGCCTAACTCCAGTGAGTATTGATATTTTGGATTATAAATTATTTAAAAAAAAACAAATTGTTTCTTTTATGTGATAAACATTTTTTAAAATGTCTTTTTCAATAAATTTCAGTCAATTAATGTACCATGTTTTCAGGGGCATTGATTCAATCTGTTATTACATTTATTACATAGAAAAACACCTTGTTTTAAAAAACTCTAATATATTTATATGATCTTGGGAAATCTTGGGAAATTTGTTCAATAAATCTTGGGAAATTTTAAAAAAGTGAGTGGCAGCCCTGATTGTGTTTTGTATTACTCTTTGTAACGAAGACGCCAGACTGACAAGGATAGAAGTACAACGAATGGCCACATAAATAGTTAGTAATATAGGACATAGGTACACTTATATTCTCTAGATAGAGGAATAGTTGCGTGCTATTTCTAAACTTTTTTCCTAAAACGAAATTAGTAAATACAATTAATTTCAGGCATTTTTTGGTAATTCAACTCATTGGTTGGCCCCCCTCTCCCTCCTCAGCTCTAGGCCTACGGACTAGTGTCTTGTACTACTACTACTACTAGCATTTTGCAGCTAAAGAGATGTCATTTGTAGTTGTTTATTTTAGTTAAACTAAAGAATTAATTTTAAAAACATTTAGTCCATTCAATTATCTTTCATTTGATACCAAATTTTGTCTTACAACCTAACAATAATATTTATTAAAAAAATTTAATCTCAACCTCTAACTTCTTGATGAACCCGGGTCTGAATAGCCACTTGGTTAAAATTATGGCAGTGTCTACACGTCCGGCGCGCCGGACGTCTATCTCCCGCACTATGTGTCCGGCGACCAAGTCACATGACCGCCGTAACAAAGTGGCGAGAGATATCGTGTCGGTCAGCCTTGTCACGTGACTGTTTGTGTACCAGTAATCCATAAAATAAATTAGGGGCCAGTGTGGCAACCAATAAAAGTTAAAGATTTCATTTTAAATTATTTCAATTGCTACAAAATATTTAAAAACTTCTCATGAAACTACTGTTGCAGAGGAACATGATAATATAAATATATACAAAATATTTTAATTAAAATGGGAAGAAAAAAAACGACCCTATCCCCGGTATAGATCCTCAAACATTCCTATCGTCATGCAACCACTCTACCACAAGACCAGACAAGATGTACTAAATCGTACTTCGTTTGGAATTATAAAAACTACTAGCCGTCCGGCCATGTCCGGCGGTCACGTGACAAGTCGCCGGACGTGTATCTTGCGCACTACACGTCCGGCGCGCCGGACGTGTAGACACTTCGTAAAATTATTGTGCAGTTCAGAGTTGTACATTTTTGAAAACCAGCTTTTAATAATTAATACTAATAGTTAAATGAGGTTAGGGTAAAATATTGTTTCAGTTTTTGCGAATATAATTATTGTTACTGTTACACTTTAGAAATCTAAATAGCGAATTAAGTTAATTATATTTATATGTAAAGTATTTAATTTCTTATTAAGTAAGGGGCCATCCATTTTCTTTACATCTACATACATTTATTATATATCAGATTACAACACAAGGTAATATAAGGCTAAAGTTCAATATGTGTTCTCAAACAATATTTACAAGTACAATAATCCAAAATCATTTCACAACATATAATATTTTACACAAGCATTCTCAAAAGAAAATTGCCAATCATTTACTAAATTAAAAAAACCAACAAAATCTTGTTCCAGATTTTTTGGGTTGCAAACATTTACTTTGTAACTACCCATCTGCCTATGCCTGTGCCAATAATTAACCAATAAATGAGTTTAAAATTAATTTAAACACATTAATACAGCCCTTTCGAGTATTATTGTTAAATCATTTATATTAACTTCGTTTTTGTCCCAAAAATCAGCTTAACCTGTTTTTAAGGGGAAGCGAATTCACATACAGCCCGTCATCGAGCTGAAAACTTGGCACATAAGCTCATTGCAGATGACAGCACATTCTATCAAATTTTCAACCCCAACCCCTAAAAATAAGTTTCCCCCGTTTTTCAAGGGGGAGGACAGGAATGTTAATGCTTTGTTAAAAATGGGTGCAGATTTTGGTGTGTACAGTAACTTCAATGCAAACCAAAATGCCAATAAAGGATTTAGATGATCAACTTGTTGTTTTTAGGGGTTCTTCTGATTTATATATGAAATTTATTCTGAATAATCAACTAACAAATTTCTGGAGATTTAAGAAAGTTTTTCACTATTTTCAACTTCTCCTAATTTCACTTTAAAGTTTGCTGTATATTTTTGTTATCAAATAATAAAGATAGCTTTATTGAGCCTTCTGTTATATTATATTCAATGTTGGAATGATCAGCCATATAATTAATATTTCAAATTTTGGCATTACCCTAATTCATTTTATTTATTCAATGCAAAAAAATTCAGGTGACAAAAGTAACAGCCACCTAACTAATGTAAGAGAGTGATTTTTCAAAAGAAATATCATAGAATCAAAAAGACAACTTCTTAGTCTTCACAGAAACAAGGTTTTATTGTGTCAGTAAAAGCACAATGGCTAGAAGAGTACTAGAAGCAGAACTTCTAGCTAGTCAAGGAATGAGTAAGTTCTAACGACCATAGTTCCTTTTCTTTTTTTAATTGTCTATTTATCGCAGTCACGTTGACCACCACTTCTCTGTTACTTTTCATATCAATGTTACATACTCCGGTGAAATTATTACATAATATATTAAGTAGGCTTACTGCCATTAGGATAAGCCTGTGTGACTTCTGCTCAATTCTTCTGGCTTCAAATATGGTTTAATAAATATTTAATTGTTTAGTAATAGTTTGACCTTTAGGTTTTATAACTGACAAACAGATGTTTCAATGAAAGAAAAGTTAAAAATTTAATTAAAAAAAAAATAAGTTGAATTTCACATCCCTTTAAAATTGTTAAAATAAAAACATGATCAACATATGGTTTTATTTTGGTTTGTTTTAAGATGTATCAAATATTGTTAAAATTCTAGCTCCACAGCCCATGGGACCAGCTAAAGCTGTGGAACTTTTCAAAGAGTTCAAGTTACATAAAACATTCAGTGGTATATTCAGCCTGCAATTCAATTATAATGGTGACACGCTGGCAGTGGGTTTTGGGGCAGGTGGTATACAGGTGAGTTGCTCATGTCAATTAATTTGAAACTTGCTAGTGTTATCTTAACATGTTGTGTGACAGTTAATGCTAGTTAAAGTTAAATCTGCAACAAAGTCATGTATCGAGCTTATACTTATAAATTTTATCATAATGAGTTTGTTAAAGTAATCACAAATAACACATCTCCCAGGGGTATGTATGAGGGATGTAATGCTGTGTTCAATAGGCACACACAATTAAGTTCCCAGAACTTGGTACTAATTGGCATTCTTATAAAAAGTGCATTGTTTGGCCATATATCTCTTAGTAAATAAATAACAAACAAAAGCAGATGCTTGCACATTTCAGTTCATTGTAGCCATAGGTTGTCAAAAAAAATATCACAAAAATATAAATATTGCACATTTAAGTGATGGGAGCTGTCTGCAGGCTCAAGTTTTTATTCCGTGTATCTTTTTTTAATAGTTCAAAGTGTATCTTTGGAAGTTAAATGGGCCGCACTTTTCGGATGTGACCAGGCTAACTCAAGGTGACATGGCTGCATAGTTTCCTGCACCAGTTGTAACTTCAGATCAGCGTCTCAATTCTGCATTATAGATTGTCATTGGCATGAAGTTTCTATTGATCTCTTATAGGAATTTGGTCTGGAAAACTTTCAGTGTATGTTTCCAATTTGCTATGGAGTTCCTGGCATTAATTTCCTGTACACAATCAGCGCATCGTCTGTCTATCCTTGCTCCAATGGTACTAAAATTTCCTTGGGCCGTTGTTGCTTATGTCCTCCACAACAGAATTTTTCTCTTTGCTTGTGAGTGGCTTGGCCATTTTTTTCCCACTCAAATAGAGTTCCCTTTCAAAGACATTTTGATAAAGGTTCCAATCTGAGCGTGACACCTGGTATCTAGCAATATATTTTTAGTAAAGCTCACTTTCTTTTTCATGATTATGTTTGCTAAATTAAGAATTTTGGTATGTTAGCGAATGTTAGATTTAGTTTTTTAAAATAATTCTCCTGGAGAATACTTTTTTTTAAGAGCTTCCGGTATTCAAAATATTGCCACCATTTGTAAATTTCCCCTCTGCTTGTTATTGGCTGTTTGAAATCTGAATTTTTTTTTACCCCCCTCACTGATACATTTTGCCATAATTTTCCAGACATATGCAACAAACACTGGCACACTGTGCAAGGAGCTCAGGTCCTGTCGACAAGGTGGCTACGCCATAATGGTCTTACGCTTTCACCCTAAAGACCCCAATATCCTCTATGCAGCCTCTACAGAAGGCCATATTTATGTATTAAATATTTCTACTGGAGAGACACTGGCTACCTTGGAAGGTTTGTTTCAGCTATTTATAGTTTTTAACCACAATACCTATGAGCAACAGTATTGCAATGGGTTGTGTGTGTCTATTGCATGCTCCTCTTGTTTTAATGTAATGGAAGCTATACTTCAATAATGCTGTTGTTTGAACCATTCCAAAGTAACACCACCCCCCCCCCCCCCCCCCCCCCCCCCCCCCATTTATCAGTAAGAACAGCAACTTACTTCAATTATTTTTTTCATTTTAATGACATCATACAAACTAACATTTTAATGACATAATACAAACTAACATTTTAATGACATAATACATACTAACATTTTAATGACATAATACAAACTAACATTTTAATGACATAATACATACTAACATTTTAATGACATAATACAAACTAACATTTTAATGACATAATACAAACTAACATTTTAATGACATAATACAAACATACATTTTAATGACATCATACAAACTAACATTTTAATGACATCATACAAACTAACATTTTAATGACATAATACAAACTAAGATTTTAGTGACATCATACAAACTAAGATTTTAGTGACATCATACAAACTAACATTTTAATGACATCATACAAACTAACATTTTAATGACATAATACAAACTAACTTTTAAATGACATAGACATAATACAAACTAACATTTTAATGACATCATACAAACTAACATTTTAGTGACATCATACAAACTAACATTTTAAAATTAAGATGTAAAGAAGCAAAAACTTGTAAATTTTGTTATTGGCTTGGCATACCTTGACATACCTTGGCATACCTTTTCAATTGCACTTAAACAATACCATAGGGCTAACTTTAAAATTGTAAATATTATTGTTGGTCTTTATTCTGTCCACATCCATCTTTAAAAATGAATGTAAATTTGTTGTCACTAACACTGTGATTCTTATCCAATTTTTACTCCAATATGGCAATAGAAATATGGCAAAAGTGTAAATTATTGTCAAGTTTTTGATAGGCTCATAATGACATTTTTCTTTTGTTCAGAGATGGGAAATGAGATTAATTGCATGGACTTCAGTGTTGATGGTTACAACTTTGCTACAGGCGGGAAGGACCTTGCTATTAGAATTTATGAGACCAAAAGTAACAAGGTGATTTTATTTTAATAGGCAGTTGCCAAATTCAAATTACTATCTGATCAATTGGCACACTACAAGAAACACATTTTGAATAAAATATATTCCTGAAGTATTAATTTTGGGTGGAATTTTATACCTGTTTATTACAAGTCATTATATCAGCGGTTCTCAACCTGTGGGTCGCGACCCCTTTGGGGGTTGCACAACCCTTTCCCAGGGGTCTCCTAAGACCATCTGAGAAAAATATACGCTCTACAGTTATGAAGTAATAATGAAAATAATTTTGTGGCTGGGGGTTGCCACAACATGAGGAGCTCAATTAAAGGGTGGAGGCATTAGGGAGGTTGAGAACCACTGCATTACATGGATGTGAAGGGAAGATGCTTTAAATATCCCCATGATGGTAAATGTATGTCACAAAAAATTCAATATTTGAATCTTAACTCCCCTTGTCATATTTGAATCTTAACTCCCCTTGTCATATTTGAATCTTAACTCCCCTTGTCATATTTGAATCTTAACTCCCCTTGTCATGTTCAACTTACATCCCACATGGAAAGCTTTTGACCATTTTTATTTTAATATAGCTGAAAAAGAAAATGATCTAATTGTGTGCTCAATTGAAAATGAGGGGAGGAGTATACTTTGACTGCTCTAATGACATATACTTTGACTGCTCTAATGACATATACTTTGACTGCTCTAATGACATATACTTTGACTGCTCTAATGACATATACTTTGACTGCTCTAATGACAATAATGCCAATGAAAGAGATTTGATATGACCTTTTTCATGGACACCTGCTGGTTGGTTTGGTGTTGTTACTACTCTAAATTAGCTGATGGTATTCAGTGGTACTCTCTTATATTATTATATTATCATGTGCCTGTCTGTGTATGGTATTCAGTGGTACTCTCTTATATTATTATATTATCATGTGCCTGTCTGTGTATGGTATTCAGTGGTACTCTCTTATATTATTATATTATCATGTGTCTGTCTGTGTATGGTATTCAGTGGTACTCTCTTATTGTATTATATTATCATGTGCCTGTCTATGTATGTATTTATACCTATATACTAAACATATATATTTTTATAGATATTCAATAATTAATTAAATGTTTAGGGTGAAACATCTCATTGACAAATGCACAAACTTGCATGTAAACTTAAACATCTCATTGACAAATGCACAAACTTGCTTGTAAACTTTAAAGCAATTGAAGACAATTATTTGGACCTTATTTTTTATTCTAAACTACATACAAACATGTTAAACATAAACATTTTCCCTTATTCCCCATTTGTTTCTGCAATGTGAGCATATAATGTTACCTTGAGACATTTGCCTCTGTTGACAGCAAGCTACTTATTCTTAAATTTCCTTCAATTCAGAAATATATTAGTAAGCATTTAAGGGTGTATATTTAAAATTGAACAAGATTTTCCAAATCTGACCCTTAAAATGACTTTAAAATCCAAGCTGTAAAATTGTTGAAATCACAACTCAAAAATCTATGGTATTTAAATTAAGAGGCTTAGAAACATTGTTATTGGTACTAAAGTGTTACAGTAGTGACTACTTGAAGCATGTCTTCGATTGCTTAAGGCTTATTAAAAAGAAGTTGATTTTTCTCTCAGGTGGTTAAAACTTATCCTGGCTTTGGCAGTGGCGGTAGTGTCTTTGAAAAAAATCAAGTGGGAAACACCATGCGGGTCTTTTCTCTCAAGTTTCATCCCAATAACCAGTACATTTTTGTCAGTGGTGGCTGGGACAACCACGTCAAGGTATGTAAAGGTTTCTAAAGTCTGTTGATCAGGCTGTCATTTCTATGCACAGCTCTGAACTGTTGAGCTTTTATAACAAATACTTTGCCATTTCTTGTTCCAAACCAAAGTGTCCACATCATCTTCCAGTATTTGCTATTTCTTGTTCCAAACCAAAGTGTCCACATCATCTTTCAGTATTTGCCATTTCTTGTTCCAAACCAAAGTGTCCACACCATCTTCCAGTATTTGCTATTTCTTGTTCCAAACCAAAGTATCCACATCATCTTTCAGTATTTGCCATTTCCTGTTCCAAACCAAAGTGTCCACATCATCTTTCAGTATTTGCCATTTCTTGTTCCAAACCAAAGTGTCCACATCATCTTTCAGTATTTGCCATTTCTTGTTCCAAACCAAAGTGTCCACATCATCTTTCAGTATTTGCCATTTCTTGTTCCAAACCAAAGTGTCCACACCATCTTCCAGTATTTGCCATTTCTTGTTCCAAACCAAAGTGTCCACACCATCTTCCAGTATTTGCCATTTCTTGTTCCAAACCAAAGTGTCCACATCATCTTCCAGTATTTGCTGTCTTCAAATGTGTTGGGATTTAATTTTACCAAAATATTGTAACAGCTTTTTAAACAGATCTCCATTTTCATCATGATATCATTAGCTTAGGAAATTGTTCAGCTTAAATTCTTTGTTCACAATTACAACTGAAAAATTGTGTTGATCCTTTTGTCAGTGGCAGTTTAGATTTCTAATATTTGATTTGCAGATATCAAATTTCAGATAGCCACACTGACTCATTCGACAAACAGGTTATTTCAAAGCTAGACCTGACTCTAGTAACAGAAGAAAGAATTTAAAAAACTTTTTTTTTAAAAAGTTATGAAAAGTTAAGCTTATCTTTATCTAGATCTAAAAAAGTTTATTCTGACATGGGGAAAATTAAGATAACCTATATCTAGATCTAAATAAGTTGATTCTAACATGGGAAAAATTAAGATAACCTTTATCTAGATATAAATAAGTTGATTCTAACATGGGAAAAATTAAGATAACCTTTATCTAGATATAAATAAGTTGATTATAACATGGGAAAAATTAAGATAACCTTTATCTAGTTCTAAATAAGTTGATTCTAACATGAAATAAAATAAAAGTTCAATGAAGTAGAAGTTGAAACCAAAATCAATTATGTCTGGATTGTTTTGTTACTTTCTAGGATGCTTGGATAAACCCATAATTTATTCTAGATCATTCATCACGTACATTTTTGCTATGTCTCCTACTGAGGTCGTTTCAAAACTCTCACAGTATAATTCACGAATAAAACTATTTCACATGTTGCGTGCAGGACTCCTGAGGAACCGATGAGAATCTCATTTACTTATGATAGCATCCCAAACCATTATCAGCATCCAAAACCTTGCATTAGACCAGGCCTGCACAACTCAAAATGTAAGGCGGGCCGTAATAATTATGGAAAAATTGTGCGGGCCAAAAAAAAATAGGACGGGGGAAAGCTATTAAGAAAATAATAAAATAAAAATAATATTTCGTTAACTTGGCGGGCCGCAAAGTGGGTGCTGGCGGGCCAGATGTTGTTCAGGCCTGCATTAGACAATCTCATTCTCTGAATTTTGTTTACTTTTCTATAATAATTATTTTATCATTCTTTTATTAACTAGTATTTAACTTATTTTTGTTGGTATAATCTTTATGTTTAAGTAGTTATTAATTTTGTTAAAAGTTTCCCTATGATCAGTACAAAATTTTTCAGAGAATATTGATCCACATGTAAAACGAACCCTTAATTTTTGTTGTTTGAAAAAAACCTTAAAATGTCATGTCCTCGTATAAAGCGATCTGTTAATCTTGTCCCATGTTAATACAATAGATATTAATGAAATAAATATTTATTGATAAGAAAAATGTAAAAAATCCTTTAAATTATCTATTAAATTAACTGTGGTCATGCTGATAAGACTATGCTGACATGCTACATTACTGGTGTTATGCGCAGATACAATACGCGCTCAGTCGCTGAATGCGAGTTGGCCAAGAGATTTTGTTGTATTTGGGTTAGTATGCATCATTAACTGGTAATAAAAGATGTCTTACATTCAGTTGCTGAATGCAAGTTGGCCAAGAGATTTTGTTGTATTTAGGTTAGTATACATCATTAACTGGTAATAAAAGATGTCTCACATCCACATCTTAGGCAAATCCCCTAGTTTAAGGTACCATTATTTGCCCTGAATTTCTTGCATTCTACTCTGTAATATATGGTATGTGTATGCGATAGCTATTACATGAAAACAGATGAATAAAAGTTTCCGAAAGCATTACAAATCGCAATTTTACTTTAAAATCCAAAATGTAAAAAATGTCTTTCCAGATCTGGGATATTCGTGACAATGATGGCATTAAAAGAAACATAAGTGGACCTCATATTTGTGGAGATTCCATCGATTTGATGGTTTGTAATAGATTGAATGGTTTACAATAGATTTAATGGTTTTTAATAGATTTAATGGTTTGCAATAGATTTAATGGTTTGCAATAGATTTATGGTTTGCAATAGATTTGATGGTATATTCTTCTTAGGAATTGTGTACCCATTTTTGGTGTGTTTTTCTGAAATAATCTAAAGAAATGATTTTGTTTAGACCTCTGACTGATGTAAATGATAAAAAGTTTGTGCATTAATAAGTATACCAGTAGGAAACAAGCAAAACATTAAAAGAAATCATTTTATACAAGATTCTTGCCATTACAGTATATCGGTATAGCGGAATAGTTGGTTCTCATTTTTACTTATGACATTTTTAGAATAAATTTGTCATTAATAAAATACTTAAATATCTATGGAAAAGTTGTATCAAATGTTAAAATGTGATTGCATAAGTAAACACTCTTAAAAAATTTTTTAATCAGCAGCCATTAAACTGTTCTAGAGTGATTTCCCATCAGCTGATTGTGCATAACAAATAATGAAACAAATAGGGTCCAAAATAAAAAAAATTGTAAAATTCCTTTCACTTGTCATTGATGCAATGGGAAACTTCTCCACCAGATTTAAAAGTTTGAGAACCACCGCTCTAGACCATTGGCCTTTAATCAGTAAGATGAAAATTGTTCCCATACATTTAATTAACTAAATAAAATGTGTCCATTCTGAATTAGGAAAATAGGATACTGACCGGTCAATGGACAGCACTGCACGCTCTTCAAGAGTTTAATTATACAACAGGAGCACTGAGCAGAGAAATTAAATACCCCAACACTGATGGGGCTTTCCTCTACGCTTCCCTCTACAGTAATGAAGACACCGTGTTTGCTGGAGGAAGTGGTACGAACAGAGCTGAACTCATAGAGATTTCTACCAACAGGGTGAGTACCGGCTCATTATAAAGTTCATAAACATATTTTTACTTTTGCTTTAAGTGAAGGGGATAATACTAGTGGCAGAAATAAAAAATGTCAGGCTGCCCTGGCCGGGACACTAAGATACAATGCTGAATGATGAGCAGTAGTGTGGGTACACTACCAAAACTCCAGAGGAAAAGGGCTCAAAGGCAGATCTGGGCTTAGATGTTTAAACCATGTGAGAAAAGATATACAGCAGATGGTAATCTTAGCATGGAAAAGAAAAGCACCAGTTAGGTCCGAGTAGAAGGAAGGGTGTGTCCTATCCAACCTCCATCTTTTCCTTATGATGTCTTCAGAGATAGGCTCTTGTATTTCCTTTCCAGTAAGTCATTTATCTTTCAATACAAAAATTGAATAGAAACAAGAAGACAATAAAACTGAGGTTGTTGTGTCCCTCTGACCACAGCAATAAAACTGAGGTTGTGGTGTCCCTCTTACCACGGCCTACACAGACCTTGATTCAAAACAACTTAATTAAATAATCAATAATGTTTTATCTTGTGTTTTCTCCTGCAAATTGTACTTGAATGAAAAAAGCACACACATATTGAGATTTAAAAGAAGAGCTAGCAGGGGCAATGAATTGACGTTTTCATTAAAATCAAGGGAGAGCACACACATATTGAGATTTAAAAGAAGAGCTAGCAGGGGCAATGAATTGATATGTTCATTAAAATCATGGGAGAGCACACACATATTGAGATTTAAAAGAAGAGCTAGCAGGGGCAATGAATTGATATGTTCATTAAAATCAAGGGAGAGCACACACATATTGAGATTTAAAAGAAGAGCTAGCAGGGGCAATGAATTGATATGTTTATTAAAATAAAGGGAGAGCAAAAGGCTGATCAACTAAGATCTGCACAAATCTTCATGAAATGTTTCATCTGTTTCTTTACAACAGAATTATAGTGAAATGCTTCTTGAGTGACTTTTAACTTTGACCTACTCACTGCAGCTTATGGTATAATGGCATTTGACCTACTCACTGCAACTTATGGTATAATGGCATTTGACCTACTCACTGCAGCTTATGGTATAATGTCATTTGACCTACTCACTGCAGCTTATGGTATAATGGCATTTGACTACTCACTACAGCTTTTGGTATAATGGCATTTGACCTACTCACTGCAGCTTATGGTATAATGGCATTGGACCTACTCACTGCAGCTTATGGTATAATGGCATTTGACCTACTCACTGCAGCTTATGGTATAATGGCATTTGATCTACTCACTGCAGCTTTTGGTATAATGGCATTGGACCTACTCACTGCAGATCTGTTTAAAAAACAACAAATTTAATTTTTGTCGGTCAGTTTAAATTACTTCTTCTTTGAATAATTGTGCAGCTCATTATTATGCAGTTTGTTTCACATACCTACATTTTATTTGCTCTTACTTAACAACTAAGAAGAGTGCCAGGGCTCATGCACGCAGTAGGATTACAGAGATGGTAGTTAATCTTGATGGTGCATGCCAGATTTGACCATTCTTTACCAGTAATATTCACAGTTTTTGCTTTTCATTAACTTTTTCTATTACTTAAATGTTCAGCATATTGGTGGCCATCAAATGCCTGCACCTGTCCATGCCTTAGACAGCGCTTGCCAAGGGAGAATACTGGCTGCTGGCGGTGCCGGTGCATCATTTGTGATTCTCAAAGTGTTGGAATAAGTTTTCACATGAATAAGATCTGCTACAATCTAGTAGAGGTTAATGTATTTAGAGATATATTTTGAACATTGTTTTCTGACTTGTGGGCTATTTTATAAACAGGTGTGTGCGTGCGTGCGTGCAAAGTTGTCATCAACTGCTTGGTTCTAACAATAGAAACTTTGCCAGTGATAAAAGTTTGAAATAATTTTAAAGAATATTACTTAATTAATGACTTGGTGAAGATTATTTAAGACATAACTTAAATAAATTTAATTCAATTGCCTAACCGCATCTATTGCTGTAACTAAATGTAAAAGGATATTAGTATTATACAAATTATATAAAACCCCAGATTCAATAAAACCCCAGATTCAATAAAACCCCAGATTCAATAAAACCCCAGATTCAATAAAACCCCAGATTCAATAAAACCCCAGATTCAATAAAACCCCAGATTCAATAAAACCCCAGATTCAATAAAACCCCAGATTCAATAAAACCCCAGATTCNTTTTTTTTTTTTTTTTTTTTTTTGAAGTGAAAAAAATTGAACCTTGATAAACAAAAAAGTTGAACAATTGGAAAACTGCTAACAGTGATTTCAATGTGTAGTAAAAAAAAAAGAGCCCTTGAGTTTTCTGTGACTAGAGTGTTTACATTAGTGTTGAGAAGCTTGAAATGGTCCATGGTATTAAACTGACATTTCATCTACATGATAGTGTTAAAACTAGGACTGTGCTTGTAAACATTCCAATTTGTTAGCATTCATTCCCTCAGATGTTGTTGTGAGACTTCATTCTTCCAGTTCCAGTATTACAGGACTGTTGCCTGACTCCAACATTCTTCTGTGGTTCTGGAAGTTGTGTAAACGTTTGTAAAAAAAAAAAAGTGAAGCTGTCATTTCATTATAAACCACTCTGCAGTGTCAAGGACAACTGTTTCGTCAAAGTGGCAAACAGTGTACGGAGTCTAAACCTATTCAGATTTCTGGTAAGCAGCTCTATTTCTGATTATAAATAATGATTTATTTCTGAACATTTTCTAATGTTGAAATCAAAAGCTTATGTGAGCACAATGCTGATGGACATTCTTTTGCTCTGAGTAACCTTATGTTGTGAGTCACTATGCTCTGCAGCACTTGTTTATATTGTAATTTCTGCTCAGACAAGCAGGGTTGAGTGGTCACTATTGCGACAAAGTAAATGTTTACATGCCAAAGTGAATGTTCACATGCCAGAGTGAATGTTCACATGCCAGAGTGAATGTTCACATGCCCGAGTTGACAGCTACAAATTGACCATAGTGTTACATGGTTGACTTGACACAATTTTAATTGGAGCAATGAATGTAAACTTACTACTACTGCTACTACTGTGATACTTAACCAACTATATTTTTATTGTCAAATTGTTTCGCTTATTTTCCTAGGCCGGGCTTTTAAAAAAAAATGATTAAAATTGCCTCATGTCTTTGTTGTGGTTCCATTGAGCCGATCTACTTCAAGAAATATAATTTTAAAAAAGCTTAACCTGTGTCCAACTTTGCAGCAAGAATTGAGTTATTCCAACAACGCAGCCAAATCAATAATATAAAATGTCATAACTGATTTCCATTTTATTTATATATAGCAAACTTAATCTGTGATGTGCATGTTGCTATGTCTGTTTAATTTTCCTTTTAACCTCATGCCTTAGCATTATAAATGCAAGATTTATTTTTATACCATATTTGCCGCCGGCTTTTGCCCTTTTTTGTGTGCGATTAAATCCGTCCATATCTTCAGTTACTGTTATAATGAACATGTATTGAAATGAGCCAAAGAAGGTCAATTATCAATGGCTAATCCTGTCAGACAAAAAAGGAGTGTTTTAGCTACTATTACAGATAACACCATACGTGTGCACAGTGTTTTAGCTACCGGTACTATCGTAGATTACAATATGCCTGCACAAACAGTGTTTTACCAAAGGGCTATCATTAGATAGATGGCTGTGCACAAACAGTGTTTTACCAAAGGGCTATCATTAGATAGATGGCTGTGCACAAACAGTGTTTTAGCAAAGGGCTATCATTAGATAGATGGCTGTGCACAAACAGTGTTTTTTAGCAAAGGGCTATCAAAGATAACAAGATGCCTGTGCAGATATTAATCAAATAAAAAATAGATAATAAAATACTTTAAAAGTAGCATTGGGTGTGAAANGTAAAAAAGGGGAGTGGGGGTGAGGGGGGGGGGGGGGGGTGTCAATTCTCAGATTTTGATATTAAATTTGAATTGTTTGTAAAAGAAAAATTGATTAGATACAGACATAATCATCCTCCAAGATTTCTCATACACAAATTTCTGAAAAGTTCTGGTGCCAGCATTGTAACGGATAAAGATATAAAGGAATAAATAATGTAGTGTAACTATTTTTAATTAAGTATTTTTGTTGATTTTATTTTGATTATTGTTTTACATTTACAATTGTGTATGCAATTTATGCAAATAATCCATCGTGTTGCAAGACTATAATTCACTAAGACAAAAGTTTCAAGTAATTAAATTTATTAAAGCATTCCGCAGTGAAATATTAAATTGACTGCCATTTTGTCCAAAACTTTTCTAATTTGACATTTTTTTAAATGTTTAAATTTGTGTAAAAATGCTTCTAAAGGTATAAAGTCCATCTGGTGTTGAGATTATAAGAGATTTTAGATTGTGTGGTGTTTAGCTAATTCAATATATACATATAAAGCAATTTAAAACTTAGATAAATATTATTAAAAATTTTATTAAATATGCATTTATGTATATTAGTTTTTTAAAAAGTAGTATTGCATCAATCAACAGATTAATGTGTAGTAGTAAAGCTCTGCCATTTTTTATGTAACTAGTGTGTTTGATACAGGCACAAAGCTATAAGAATCATTAGGGTGCTTGCAAAACATTTTCATGCTATTACATTGATTTTTTTTTTGTTTTGAGTTTATAGAATTATGACTTTTTTTTTTCATTTAATAAAATTAAAATTGTTAATGGTGGTTAGAAAAGGGGAGGCAGAAATTATGAATTTAAAAAAAATGTACTGATGTAAAAGATTAGTTTATGTTGTGTACTTGATCCAGTGGCTATTTTTTACTTGATCCAGTGGCTACTTTGTACTTGATCCAGTGGCTGTTTTGTACTTGATCCAGTGGCTATTTTGTACTTGATCCAGTGGTTATTTTGTACTTGATCCAGTTGCTATTTTGTACTTGATCCAGTGGCTATTTTTTACTTGATCCAGTGGCTATTTTGTACTTGATCCAGTGGCTATTTTGTACTTGATCCAGTGGCTATTTTGTACTTGATCCAGTGGTTATTCTGTACATCACTTATTTGAGGGCTGCTATTTCCTTGAAGTATTTTTTTTTTGTGCTGATAAATTTGTGCCCCTTTTCAAGAGTTATAGATCCTTGCGGAAATTTGTGTCCCTTTTCAAGAGTTATAGATCCTTTGTGTCCCTTTTCAAGAGTTATAGATCCTTATGGAAATTTGTGTCCCTTTTCAAGAGTTATAGATCCTTACGGAAATTTGTGTCCCTTTTCAAGAGTTATAGATTCTTACAGAAATTTGTGTCCCTTTTCAAGAGTTATAGATCCTTACGGACATTTGTGCCCCTTTTCAAGAGTTATAGATCCTTACGGAAATTTGTGTCCCTTTTCAAGAGTTATAGATTCTTACGGAAATTTGTGTTCCTTTTCAAGAGTTATAGATCCTTACGGAAATTTGTGTCCCTTTTCAAGAGATATAGATCCTTATGTAAATTTTGTCCCTTTTCAAGAGTTATAGATCCTTATGTAAATTTGTGTCCCTTTTCAGGGGTTATAGATCCTTACACAGCTTTGTCTTTCAGACCTATGATTTATCGGCCTTGGGTAATGTAAATCAAAGAGATATTTCCGTCTTTGGACTTGTGATTCCTAGCAATGGGCTAAAGCATAGTTTTTCCCCAAGTGTTTTGTCCTGTCAGGCTGACAATGTATTCCTCATGAACCACCAATAGAGTTTTATTTTTCATGTCTTTTGAGACAATAACTTAAACAGTTTTTTGCTCACTCCCATGTTTAAAGCATTAAATAATTATATATATTTTTTAATGTGTTTTTAATTTATTTTTTTTCTAACCTAATAGAGGCTTTAAATGTGTCAGACTGAACAATTTAATAGAGTGTATAATTTGGGTCATAAATAAATCATATAAAATTTTATAGAAGATCGAATCTGAACAAATTTGGTACCCGGTACTCGTAAATAATAACCCTCAGTCTCACCCCCCCCCATACAAAACAAACAAACCACAAGACAAACAAACCACAAAACAAACAAACCACAAGACAAACAAACCACAAAACAAACAAACCACAAAACAAACAAACCACAAAACAAACAAACCACAAAACAAACAAACCACAAGACAAACAAACCACAAGACAAACAAACCACAAGACAAACAAACCACAAGACAAACAAACCACAAGACAAACAAACCACAAAACAAACAAACCACAAGACAAACAAACCACAAGACAAACAAACCACAAGACAAACAAACCACAAGACAAACAAACCACAAGACAAACAAACCACAAGACAAACAAACCACAAGACAAACAAACCACAAGACAAACAAACCACAAGACAAACAAACCACAAGACAAACAAACCACAAGACAAACAAACCACAAGACAAACAAACCACAAGACAAACAAACCACAAGACAAACAAACCACAAGACAAACAAACCACAAGACAAACAAACCACAAGACAAACAAACCACAAGACAAACAAACCACAAGACAAACAAACCACAAGACAAACAAACCACAAGACAAACAAACCACAAGACAAACAAACCACAAGACAAACAAACCACAAGACAAACAAACCACAAGACAAACAAACCACAAGACAAACAAACCACAAGACAAACAAACCACAAGACAAACAAACCACAAGACAAACAAACCACAAGACAAACAAACCACAAGACAAACAAACCACAAGACAAACAAACCACAAGACAAACAAACCACAAGACAAACAAACCACAAGACAAACAAACCACAAGACAAACAAACCACAAGACAAACAAACCACAAGACAAACAAACCACAAGACAAACAAACCACAAGACAAACAAACCACAAGACAAACAAACCACAAGACAAACAAACCACAAGACAAACAAACCACAAGACAAACAAACCACAAGACAAACAAACCACAAGACAAACAAACCACAAGACAAACAAACCACAAGACAAACAAACCACAAGACAAACAAACCACAAGACAAACAAACCACAAGACAAACAAACCACAAGACAAACAAACCACAAGACAAACAAACCACAAGACAAACAAACCACAAGACAAACAAACCACAAGACAAACAAACCACAAGACAAACAAACCACAAAACAAACAAACCACAAGACAAACAAACCACAAGACAAACAAACCACAAGACAAACAAACCACAAGACAAACAAACCACAAGACAAACAAACCACAAGACAAACAAACCACAAAACAAACAAACCACAAGACAAACAAACCACAAGATACTACAACAATACTGATGATCTTAAAAACCCATGGATTTGGTCTGGCTAAAAAAAAACAGAAATGTCACACATTGTTCATTGTGATTGGAGAGGAATTCGGAATATGTTACGAAATTGAATGCAATTTCCTTATCTAATGACGCTGTCCGTAGAGAAATAGATGACATGTCTGTTGGGATTCTTGATCAGGTCATCCAGGAAATTAAATCTGCTCCACTTCCAATAGTTAGTATCCAGCTGGATGGATCTACAAACGTTGCAAGCTGTTACTAGGTTACAGTCAGTCTCAAGATAGCACCAAGAGCAGTCAGTCTCAAGACTAATATTGTCCTTCAGCAATAAACAACTCAACAAGCCGGCCATGTTTTGGCTCGGCCCCCCCGCCCCAACTCAACACCCTGGGCGGCAAACAAATGACGTCCCTGGTGACACAATGAATTGACCGCTCTATGTTACACCCATCCTACCTAGTGATCCCACTGGCTTCACTGAACTTAGGCATGAGATAAAACAGTTGACAATGCTGAAGCGAGCCACTAATTAGTACTACGAGCCACTAATTAGTACTACGAGCCGCTACTTAGTACTACGAGCCACTAATTAGTACTACGAGCCACTAGTTAGTACTACGAGCCACTAATTAGTACTACGAGCCACTAGTTAGTACTACGAGCCACTAATTAGTACTACGAGCCACTAATTAGTACTACGAGCCACTAATTAGTACTACGAGCCACTAATTAGTACTACGAGCCACTAATTAGTACTACGAGCCACTAGTTAGTACTACGAGCCACTAATTAGTACTACTAGTAGCCACAAATACTGGGTGTGTTTTTCTGTCTGTCACCGGTGCAGTGCTGCTTTAAAAAATAAAGTTTCCTATAAATTATAACGTTTATTTGTGTCTAGTGAAGCGTCATGAACACCACGATTTTCATAAATACCCAGGCAGGGGCCATTTACCCCAACCCCCCCCCCCCCCCCCCCCCCCCCCCCCCCCCCCCCCCCCCCCCCCC